ATGCCAGGGGATCTAAATACTTAGTGGAGAAAAAGTTAGTGGATGAAGCCGAAGTCTTATTAGAGGAATTAGTAACCTTTCCAGAATTGCACATACGGGCCTAAAAAGTGTCCTAAAAACTGCTGAACATTCAACTCTGACTGGCCTTACGCGACACATCTAATAAATGACAGACTGTTCAAGAGTCCATTGTTACCTACATTTCTAGTGGGAAAGGAGGAGGTAAATTTACCTCCATCACAATACTTAGGAATATAGGAAATCTGGAATTTTGTGCTCTGGGGCAGAGCAAAGCGGCGTTAGGGAAAGTGTCCAGGAAGCCCTAAGAAATGTGCACAGGATAATCTAGGCTCTGCCATATCTGGCTCAGAGAACCTTTACTCTTATTGGTTAAAGTTCCATTGTACCAGAGGAAAGTAGTTGTTGACCATGGTCTTTGTTCCAGAGCTTTAGATGGATTTTCGGCTATCTTGCAGCCAGGGCATGCAGTGCTTTCAAGCACTGATTCACAAAAGGGAAGCCAGCACAGAGAGAAGAGAACAGGTCTGAGATGTTTGTGATAGGAAATTCCAACTGCAGTACCTCTGTTCAGCAAAACAGGCTAAGTACTGAATTAGTTGGGGTTTCCTCATTAAGTGTTGAAGACTTCATGCCCAGGTATACTCCACCGGTATAACAATAAGTGAAGTTGGAATGGAATGGAGTTTCCTAGCCAAGCAGAGATCGCAGAAATCATTCCTCACAGATGCTATTATGGGAGCACTCCTCACCACCAAGAAATCCCAGATTACTCCTAGACAACATGCCAAACTGACCAATTGTGGGTGTGTATTTTTCACACAAGTAGGAGACTTCTACTTTCCTTCTTCCTTAGAACTATCCTGCTCTAGCCAATCGCTATGAACCAGTCAGGGTTCTCCCTTAAAACTCATCCTCAGTAAGAGGGGGTCTCATTTTGTGAAGGGGGTTTCATTAAAAGCAGTGAAAGGGGGTCTCATTTTGTGAACAGGGTTTCCTGCTCTGCCCTGAAAAAAAAATCCCCACCCTTTTCTCCTCTGCTATTGGGTTTTGTGCTTACTCAACAGAAACCAGCGGCTTGTTCCTTGGAAGCAGCCAACCAGCAGGAAGATTTTTGTCACAACTTGGGGTGGTGAGAAAGTAGCCAATGGCTGCAACGTCTTTCAGCAAAGGATGAAGAACAGCTTTTTTGCCTTAAATTCAGCTGTCCCACTGCAGCATAGGAGGATGCACCCAAGACGTAATGGGCAGCTGATGGTAGATTTAGTTTCTGTTGGGGTCCTGCTGCAGGAAGCTGTTGAGGGGATAGAGAGGAGGTGAACATCTCTTGCTATTACAGCTCTGGCTTCTCCTAGGCTGGTGCTTGGTCCCTCCACACCACTTGGAGAGAGAGGGAGGCCACTTTGCACAACTGCATCTTCCTCCCTGGCTGTCCTCCATTGCCTGAAATACTGCACCTGTGGCTATGCCATCAGAGGTCATGTGAAATTTCTTCTCTCCAACTGCTCCATCCCACAGCTCCCAAATACTCGCTCATCATAGTGGGACATGTTTGGCCCTCAGTTACTCAGGTATAAACCTAGAGTAGCTCCAAATAAAAGCAGTGAGGTTTTTAAGTCTTGGCTTGACAAAGCCCTGTCCGGGTTGATTTAGTTGGGATTGGTCCTGCCTTGGGCAGGAGGCTGGACTTGATGACCTCCTGAGGTTAACAGGTTAACAGACATGTAACTGATTGCAAAGACTGGCCCAGTCCCTGAAAGGCCAGTTCACAGTATGTCTGAAAGTAGCCTAGAAACAGTCAGATTGACATTTACATATTGTTTTTCCTCAGGAAGCTTCTAGGCTGGGACCTCCAAAGAGAGAGCTTTTCTTGGACCTATGATAGTTGATTAATGCTATCATCTAGCCCCATGGGTGATGGAGAGCATCACTTTCAGAGGGAACGAATCCCTCTCCCTAATAACCAGAGAAACTGCCAGCCATGGAGTTGATCAATATTGTCCAAATGTTAAACTGGGATGCAGTTTCCCATTCAAATGCTGATGAAGAATGTGCACAATTCCCCCTCTCAACATGTTTTTCATCAGCTGTAACTCACAACAGCCATGCTTAAACAGGGTTTCAGCAATACTGGGGCAGGGCCATTATTTAATGGGTTTTGACATCTAGACTGATTTTCAGAGATCTCCAGCTTTATTTCTGTGGCTTGATTGTCCGCTTCTCGGATTCCATGATATTTTAATAAACCATAGCAGGTTCTATAGGGGCTTGTTTTGCACTGTGAGGAAAGGCACATATCCTGGTAATGCTTCTCTCTGCTCTCCCAGGTAGTGAACGCCATATACCTTACACAGGGATGAACTGGAATTGCTATCAAATCTTCCTGAAAAAAATCTTTGACTGTAATGACTGCAACAGGATGGAAGATAATCTAAGTTCTCTAGTCCAAAGAGTAACTCTAGCTGGGCATTTAGTTAAATTACATCTTGGGTGTTCCCCCTTCTATATTTGCTTTCCATGTCTGCACTTGCCTTCACTCTATGTCAATACCAGCCTGTATTCCATGTGCATTCATAACTAGCTTTATGAATGGTGAATTTGCACTGTCTCATGATAAAAGCAACACACATGCATGTCCCCCACCCTACTGATTTCAAATGTGCAAAGTCTTTTGCCGTGCAGCAAGGTTTTAATCTTGTGGTTGATTTAAGAGCTCAAAACTGACATTCTAAAAGCTTATGTACAGTTATTCTTTATCCTAAGACAAACACATTTTCATAGCTTTGTGTTGTGTCTGACAGGATGCCTCAGATTTTTCTCTTCACCCTCTGAAAAGTTCATGTGAGTAAATAACTGAAGGGAATTATAAATAAAAATCAGCTACCCTCAGCAATTCTTCTCCCCCGACACAACCTGCTTCTGACGTGCAGAAACCTCTCTGTTTAGTTCAAGATTAGCTTCTTCTTGCCACTGAGAGAACACACAGATTTCCTTCTCGGTGCCAGAGTTTTCTGTGTGTGCCCAGAGCAGGGCTGCCTGTGTCCTTAAAGATGTGTTAGTCAAAGCTGAGCTAACACTAGGGAGGTTAGCCATTTCCAAAAGAAATGACAGTGAACATTAGTCATGACTACAATAGTAGTATAGTAATTAACACTAGCAATGACTGCAGTACATATATATAGTAACTGAGCATGAGTAACAATCGGTCTGGCAACTGACTGAATAGCAGTAATTATGGGTGGTGGGTAGATGTCCCCCCATTCAGAGAGGCTTAGCTCCCTGTCCACCCTAACTTCCACATCCATTCCCCCCCATGGCTAGAGGAGCCCCTGCCTGGCCTAAACCCAATCCCTGCATCCGGAGAAGCTCTGGGTTGACTGCTGACTGGTTGGCCCCAGCTGCAGAATGGGAGAGATGCTGCACTTCCCCGTCCAAGATGTCTGGTGGGAAAAGCAAAAGCTCTTCCCCAAAAAATGCAGAAAGATTCCTGATAAAACCAAAAGTTAGGCAGCTGATTTCACCTCCTCAGCTGTCCCAGAACCTGCATGGCACATAATAAGCAAAAGCTTTCCCTGTCAGAAGCCCAGCCCATGCAAAACACCAAAACCTACGGTTGCCAGATACTTTCCCACAAAATACCGAACATGACTGGAAAAAAAATTGGTTGAACAAAAAAGGCATTGCATCTTTAAATCCCCACCTTTCCCACCCCCACCAGAGACAAACAGAAAATACCGGACATTTTACATGTCCGGTACTTTGTTGTTGTTTTTTTACTGCACAGATGCCAAATATACCGGACTGTCCAACCCTACCAAAACCTGCAACTCAGCATCTGGCAACAGTGGCTGCACCAGGCAGGGTGTAGCCTCCCCTGGACTATTAGACCCATCACTCAGGTGAGCAGTGCCAGTTTGGATTTCAATTCTGCGTAGTCTGCCTCTGATCCAGCAAAGCCCTGCAGCCTATGCTTAACTTCAAGCTCGTGAGTGGTCTCGCTGATGTCATGCTTCAATTCAAACATATGTTTAAGAGCTTTGCTGAGTCAGGACCAGGCGCACCGTGTAGAACCACATCCCCCTGGTCATTTTAGTAAGGTAAAATGGCACTCAAAGGCTTCTGCAGCATTCCAGAGCAGGGTTCTATTGGTCAGCCTGCCGGATGAGCACGTATATGGTGGCATAAGTGGCTAGAAAGCCGTACATTTACAGAACTGCTCTGAACAGTTGCCCAGGATGGGTGGCTGTGGAGCCCAGGGTGAGGGGCCAGGACTCTGTGTGGCAGCAGGGCCCTCAGACACAGGCTGGCGACTGGATCCCCCAACATGGGGCCAGCGGTGAAGTTCATATAAACTTAACTGCTTTTACAAACAGTAGCAAATACACTTCACAAAAACTGCAATGGCCACCAAACTTCCCATATCGTCTCCCGCATCACACTGCAAAGCTAGGATATAGGTGCACATGGCAACTCTGATTGTTCTGAACCAGGTGGAGCCAGTGCTAATACTGACTGGTGCACTTATTCCTCATCTGCACCAAATTGGCCAACTAACTGAACCATTCCATTCTATGAGGTCCCTCCGCCCTCCCCGCACCAAAATTGTGCAGCCTGCCATAACAACAGGAATGAGACTGCTTCGCTATTCCCTGAAGGCCTGATTTTTAAAAAGCCCTTAAATCAGGCCTCTGTTTTTTCACATATCTGAACCTTTGTCCTTACAAAATGTTAAATGGGAGGCAGAGTTTTAAAGAGGATAGACATGAGCATGATGTATCTTGTGAGCTATAGATCAGCCTTAGAGAAATACCGTTGTATGGTAAGCAATACACTTTAAGGCAGAGATTTCAAAATGAGGCCAAACAGATTTAGGCACCCAATTCCTTGAGACTCAGGTGAAAATCTCAGTATATATATATCTTTCAAGCCACTGCTGGAATAAATCAATAAAGTTTCAGCCTCTGCCCCACAAACTCTCTTACCTGTCTTTTGTATAATTGTATTTGTTTTCCAATCACATTTCATGCCAGGAATTCAAGAAGGGACACATCTAAGAAAAAAAAAAGTGGATTTGGAACATGCCTCTTATTCATAGCATATTGGCACTTTAAGGATAACCAGATCTGAAACATGCTCCAAGAAATACTGTAATATATTTTAACTTAAATTTATTTTACAGTGTTTTAAAAATCATTTTCATTAGTGTTTGAGAGACAAAATATTATTGGTTTAGTGAATCACTATATTCTGAGATGTATATTACAGTGCTGTCTTCTGAGCATAATAATCACAGTATATATCCGCAATATAACCTCATCTGGTTCACTAGGCATTGGATCTCTTTTCTAGGAACACACAAGGAGAAGAATATTTTTCTTTTAAATCTGTAATATGGAATTATAGAATTCTCTAGTGGAGCCTCTAGAGAGTTTCCTGTAGCTCTGGTTCCTGGCTCGAGAAGGACATGAAGAGAGCAGATAACCAAAAAACAAAATATAATGAGGGGATAGGGTCTCTTACAAGTAGTCACTGTCTGGGGAAAGAGGGAGAGAAGGGACTCACCTGACCCTGACCATCTAGCTCTTAACCGTAGAAAATAATTTCCAGCCTTTCTTTTGAAGATTTACAGCTGTGAAAGGATCATTGGAATTACCCATAGAGGCAGAAGTCGTAACATCACCATAAAGGAGTACAAAATTCCCTGCCTTCTCCCCCAAACATACCACGGGTGCTCTTCATTTCTCTAAATGTTGTTGGAATTGCATTCTTCTTAGTATCTCAGAAATTCCTGGCAGAACACACAATCTTTCTCCAGATTTCTACTATTTCTCTTATATGAGCTTTGCTTCTAACACCCAGTTCTGTACTCCTTTTAATAAACGAACCCCTTACAAAGAGAGTCTGCCAATAGTGTAATTAACGAAGGTGTCCTGTGAACCTCTGCATTCCCAGCAGATTCTCTCAGACTCGGGAAAGTAAATATTGCAGCCCTGCTGGACAAATTTCGGTGCCTTTAGGTGCTATATTGTAACATCACCTGAGAATTACAACCAGGATTAGAATCCAGTTGTTCTGTGCACTGTAAATGCTGACGTGCTTTAAGTGATGTGAATAAATGAGTCAACACTTCCATTAATCGTAGACCAGAAATAATCTCTAGCACCTGATTCATTGATAGGATTCCCCCGTCACAACTGACTTTTCCTAGAGCTCTTAGGAGGGTCAGGATGGCTTTCTATACACACGTCTTCAGAAAATTTGTTTTTAATCAAAGGCTACTTGAAAATAGAGGATACTGTTGCACACACAATGCCTAAAATTCTCCAGCATCTGAACATCAAAGAGATTGACCTAGGATTAGTCTAGTGGTGAAAATGGTTTACTGCAGTTGAACTTTTCTTGGGAAAAAAAAATCTGTTGCAAAATTTCATGGGGCTCACGTGGTTTTCAACCACCCAAGTCAGATATGCAGCATAAAGAGAAATTTTGAATTTTTTACTTTTTTCATGCTGTATATTTGACTATGTCTAAGAGGTAAGACCCTTCAGTGAGTTATCTCTTTCTCTGGTGTGATTTATCTTAGTTCAGAGGATTATTCTAGATATGAATCTAGAGCCAAATTTAAATGGGTCTGAAGTCTGGATCTGTATTTTCCGATGAATCCTGAAGGCTCGGTTTATAAATAGGGTTGCCAGATGGTTTCAACAAAAATACCAGACATACTTGACACTACATCACAATCAACATTACGTCTTATTTAGAAAATACTGGACATTTATATTTCCTCATTTATATTTTCTCAATTTGTTTCCCTGAACAGAAAGCTCAAATACTGGACTGTCTGGTTCAAAACCAGACACCGGGCAACCTTATTTATAAAGGTAGATCTGCATACCTCCCCCAAACTTTGGGAATGCTCATATAATCATTCATAAGTGAACTCTCTGCAGTTTTTCTCTAAAGGGTTCTATTTGTGTGTTTCTTTTTTATTGTCCGTATGCATTTTGTAAGTCAATAATATATAGCATGTATCAATGTATTCAAGTGAAGATAACATATTCATGACTCACAGGGCTTTTCCCCAACACCTGAAATGATATAATGCAGCACATCAGTATGTATCCACAGCTGTAACAGAAATAAAAAGAAGAGTTGGGGGAGAAAAAAAAGCCTAATCAAAAGAAAACTCAGTTTTCTGACAGCAAGTTGCTGCAATACTAGATAAACAATTCTATGGGTTAATTAAGCACAATTAGGAGACATTGATTCCAAAATTAATGCTTTTCTAGGGAACTCCAGCATGATTGGCTTTACGAGCCACATGATCTGAAGTGAAGGATTTAAGATTGCATGAGTTAAAAAAAAAAAAAGCATTTCTAGTGTACTTTGAGATGTGCCTTTGACACTAAGGTTACAAGAGAATTTTCTTTTTGAGAGCTCAACAAATACAACTTGACTCTTGTAATTAGGGCACAAAGTTCTGATGGGATGAACTCCTCTTTCATGGTGATGTAAATGCATCTTCATGACATTTTGGAACACCCTCTGCACGTTTGCTACCATATCAGCTGACAAGGGATTCTGAAGTAATTTTGGGATAAAGGATTGCCCCACAAGCTCTGCTTCGGGATCATGGAATTCCCCTGAAAAAATGGTATTTCCCTTGCAACCTTACCTTGCACCTGGACTAAGAGCACCCTTTTAGTTAAGACCGAGCATGACTTGGGACAGCTTTTGAACATTACCATCCTGGCCTTGATTCAAATCAGAAAGCAAAATCTGTCTGTTACTAATTCTTTCTAGGTAATTAAAACATACTTGTCACCATCGTGTGAGTGCAATAATTCTCTGACCTCTGCAGTCCAGCTGGCTTTTTTGCTAACTGTATCTCCTCAGGGAGAAAATGTGTGCATTTCCTTAAGTCTTTCTATTAAATATATATTTTTTTGATTCTTCAGTTCCCTTGGTCACGTCAATGTGAAAGAGTAACCCAAGAATTGCTTCTTTGATCACTTAGGACAATTCATTAGTGAGTAGAAGGTTGCAACGGGGCACCTGTATCCATGTGGAACAAAAGATAACCTTTGGAGGCCAATGTAAAGGTTAACAGAAGAACCAGCAAGTAATACAATGCAGCAGAATTAGACATTGATGCTCATTCGCCTTTGTTCTTAAAATGCATCCATTTAAATCCTATCCTGGCAGAGAGGTCCAAAGGGCTCAGCCATATTGCTCTGCCATGGATTTCTCACTCAGCAGTGTACAAATGTAATTTCCTTTTCTTGCCCAAAGTGTGCCAATAGCTCATCATACTCCTCTTTGGAGAGCTGGTCAGCTTTAAGGGGGGGAGGTGCTAGAATTTTGACTCTTGAGTATCACAGTGATTTTTTTAAAATAGTTTCAGCCTTTGCATTTATGGTTCCCCTATCCGGGGACAGTTTTGGACAGAACAGGACACTCCATTGTGCCCCTCTCATACAAACTATTGCGAAGTGCTTTAAGAGACAGGTACAGAAGTTCTGGCAGTGCAGCGTTGGCATCGGCCAATGGAGGCAGATCCTGCCTCTCCTACCTTGTAACAGAATGTTTCACGTGCAGCCTGGACTTCAGCCGAGCAGCAGAGCAATACCCAGAGTAAAACACACAGAGGTTGGCTCAAGCCATGCCTGGTTCTGAATCCAACCCCCGGCACTAATGCTTAATGAGGGGGGAGGGGGGTATTTGAAAGAGGCCCTGGGGCTTTGCTGTTACCTGAAATTTCCCATATTCTTCAAATCTCCGAGAGAGCAAGGAAGCGAGTGGTGTAGAGTCTACTCTCCTCCCACTTCACAGCCTGGGTCAAGTTATTCAGCCTCAGGATTTGAGCCACCACAGGCCTGTCAACGGGGGCAGGAGAAGGGAACAACTGCCCCGGGCCCAGAGCCCAACGATTCAAAAGGGCCCGGGACTCCCAGCATCACCACTGCTACTGTGGCTGCTGGATACCCGAGCCCTTGACCTTGTCATTTGAGTGCTGTGTGGCACACTCTGGGTGGTACGGAAGGGATGGCCGAGGGAGGGTAGCTCCTGTCACGCCCCTTCTTCACAAGTCTCGCCTCTTCTGGGAGCGCAGGAGTGCCCCCCCCCCCCCGCCTAGGGGCCTGGCAGTTCTTTCGGCCTCCCCTGACAAAGCTGAAATACTGGCTCCAGTTGCACAGGGCTTCCACTTTAGTACGGGCTCACGTGGGCTTTCAAGTCACGGCTCAAAGTTGCATTGCTCCAGGGGAGCACCCGGAAGAATGATCTTTTGGCACACTATGAAACTAGGGTTGCCAGGTGTCTGGTATTGACCTGGACAGTCCAGTATTTTCGCCTCCTGTCTGGTAAAAAAATTCAGAAAATATCGGACTCCTAAATGTCTGGTATGTTCTTATTTGTTCCTGGCCAGGAGGTGAAAATACCAGGTGCTTACCTGTCTAGCCCAGAGCAGGGAGACCAGATAGCGGACAGCCGCATTTCTTAGAGGGGCCAGGCCTTATTTTAGCTTAACGGAGTCCTTTTTTTTGCGCTCAACAACTTTGGTCTTCCCTTTCTTTTCTCAACAGAATTTTTCCCCTGGTGGGTTTTTTTTGCAGGGGGAGGGGAGTGTTTGGTATTTTTAGTTAAACCATCTGGCAACCCTATATGAAACATGCCTGTTACAATGTCCCTCCAGAGGGTGCAACATGCCTGGCACTTTACGCCCAACCATTCTGCTGCCCCCTGAAACGAGAGGTTGGAGCCAGGGTGGCCCCTCCTCTTTTCCTTTCATTCCCCTTTTGGGGTTATGTTGATCCCCTTGGGGATGCACAGAGAGCAGCTCCTATGCTCCAGGTATGGTTCCTGCATGATACAGCTGGGCACAGTGTATATGCAAGATAGGATGCTGGCAAAGACACTGATGTAAGTCCCCACTCTATGCAGCAAGCAATAGGGCATTTTATAAGACCCACCTGGATAGCTCCTGGAGATAAGGGGAGGAGACCCTGACTCCATAGCCCTCCTAGCAATAGCTTCATTAGTGAAAATTGGGC